AAGCTCCCAGGAAATACATGGGCGTGGTGCCGAGATAAATGTACTCTTGCATTTGCATAGTTACCTCTCGTCCTCGGCCTCCATATCCTCTCGGTGCTCGCTCCTTTTCAGATTCTATATCCGCGCGCGCGAATCCCCATCCCTTCGCTGGACGCCTCGTTATCCCTCGCGCGAGGGTGCTTCGCCCTTGACGGAGTCTTTAGAAATCGGCGCGAGGAAAGCGCGCCTTGGATGCTTCGAATCGTCTCTTGGGTTAATTCGTCGACCTTGACTTGGAAATATTTCTTTTGCGCTGAGAAAATGCCTGAACGCCAGGGAACAACTGTTTGATACATTTTACCGTCACTCTTCAAAACAAGTATCAATTGCCATGATCTCGGTGTGCACATTTTTTTTCTTTGTATATTTTACGTGCATGGACAACCTCAGTCCAGTCATTACCCAAGCATAGTTAATTGGGTATTACGAGGATAACGTTATTCAATCGCACACCTTGTCAGTCGTATCTATATAGTACAACAAATTGCCCGGAAAGACAACAACAACAACAACAACAACAACAACAACATCAAATCGGAAACCCTACTCGAAATTCACCGGAGGTGAATCCTGTTTCGGAAATCCCGCGGGACGTTGTTTCCCGGAATTCGCCGACAAATGGCATTATTCATCGCGTTGTCGTTCGCGATCGATGCCAGCGAGTTTTCAGTTTTGAGAAATCGACGAGGACGGGGTTTATTAGAGATTCATAGAAAACGCGGAATGCATTCGCGTATCCCCCGGAGTCGCGAGCATATTTTGGCAGCGGTTCGGGTTTCTTGTGCCGAGCATGTATTATGACGATAAATTCCCCGCCAGGGATCTGTTTACGTCCCTAAGAGCGTTAAACTTTTAACACGGGAACAGTGGGTCGCATCCACGAGTATTCGGTAGCTACTCGTTCGCTTGGATAAATTTTCGGGGCTATTCTTGTGGAAGGAATGTGACACGTACGATGAATCCTGTCTAAAGTGCGCGACGATCCTGTAACAGGTGAGGAGGTGTCAGCAAAGTATCAGGAAAGAAATTTCAACGTTCGCGACGAATCGGAGCGTGTAATTCTCAAAAATTTAATAATCAAACCAGAAACAAATTCAGTAGCAAAGTATACATTTTGGACATGGCGAGTCTGTGAACGCTGGACGAATCTGAGGTTGCAATGGTAAATGAAACGGCGCAAATAACGCCAGGGACCTGGATACAGTTTCTGGTGGAGACAAATGTGCGTCGGTGGTAAACCATACTGAAATTCCCGCGGGACACTCCTTTTCGGGATACACACCGGATGGATTTATTTGGCCGATCGAAGCTACGCCTTTCATTATCAGAATGAATCGACCCTCCCCTGTCGACGAGGCCTTTGTGACCCGGTTACGAAGCCCGACAGTGACACCGTGTCGACGGTCGTTCGTGTCGATGAATATTTCAGCCAGTGGAAATCGAAGATACGACTCCAAGAGCTGAGAATACCGGTATAAATTCGCAGGATACACACGCCTGGATACTGTAGACTGTGGCAACGGAATTGGATGACGGGGAGCTCGCGTTGTTTTCCTTTTAAATAAACGCGAAGATGAATTCACCCGTTAGTCTCGCGCCCTTTTTTTTTCGCGCCATCCGATCCGCTTTTTGCGAGACGATGGCGAAACGGGGACGAAATGAAATTCTGGAGTAGGTTTCGTCGATTCGAGGGTATATCTGAGATGTGGTTGCCTTCGGGAGATTAGGTTCGTGTCAGAAATTTACTTGTACGAGGGTGAGAATTAAAAGGAAATCAAAATTAATTAATTGGTTCGTCATATTTAAACATATTTAAACGTATAAGAAATAGTTTGTGACAGCTATTGTCTAAGTACACGAGATATGTTTTTGTTTGAAATTGTATCTCTACGATGAAAAAAGAACTAAATTTATTAAAAGAAGCATTAACAAGACTTCATGAATGTATCAAATAAAAAAAATAAATAGACGATAAACTTTATCAGTGACGTAGCCTTGCAAATGCCAATGCTGCGAACGTTTTTGGGTCAGTCACCGATAACAACGAATGGCATAGATAAACAGTATTGAGAAAAATCGAGTTCTTTCCTGAAAACGAAACACTCGTGATTATTAATAAGAGTGTTTCTGCCAGAGATAAATGCGCGGCGACGAGAAATCCTGAAACTTAGTGGCGCATACATGGTTGCGGATGTGGTAGTGGTGCCATAAATTACGCGAGCTCGTGCTCACGTCATTCGTCTAGACTCGCGTGCGATCAGCTGCGAAGGTTCCTTCAGTTTCAGTCTACCAAGTGACTATGTCAATTTAGAATCGTGCTGTTGCACAACGCGCAGGTATATATCGTCGCGTTGCATGATACAAATGAGGTTGACTGAGTTATCGAATGAATTGTTAAAAATGTTCGAAAACGTTTATCTGTCCCGAATAAACAGATTGCTCGTTTTTGGACAAATTAATGCGATTTTATAAATAAAATCAAATTTTGTCTATGAAATAGTTTCTTTCGTAAACGTGAATAATAGTGATGCAATTCATATTTGTTATGCTTCCCTATGATCTTAATGAAACTTTCTAGGCACGATTCTTGTTCATTTTAAATTCGCATTATTCAGAATTATTAAATTATAACGTCAATTTATCAACATTACATTAAATTTTGTTTCAGCTAACTATTCATTCCGTCCATGTAGAATCATAGGAATTATTTTTATTTCATAAATAGTTTGAATTTATCAACATAACCCCGATGAAGTTGATCATTCAGAAAGGTCTGAAATGACTCCAAAACTTGGTCACACGTATGGACGAACTCGATAAAATTGATCCTCTTCATCTCTTAGAGGACAATTGGGTTAAATTCGATTCTCTTATCCTTCTTCCCTGTCGTTCAATTCTCCCGTTCATCCCAAGTTACATCTAATCTTATTTTCCACCATCCCCTGGTCAGCAATCTCTACATCCAGTTACGGAATTCTTAATTTTCGTTGAAACTCAAACGTCCCTGGGGACGGTCGAGTAGCTGTTTACGGGAACCGCTCTATTCCTACGACGAGATGGTTCCTTCGGCTACATCCGGAGCTATTAGAAAATTCAGCGAGGGTGGTATTCCCACTCTCCAACTCGTAACTGCGGAGCCCCGATTAAAGTGTCCCGTCGCGTTTCGGATTTTCGTGCTCGCTTTAGCCGATTTCAGTTCGCGCACTTCTTTCCGTAACTTCCCGTTCTTCCCATTTCGTCGTTTCGCGTTGCCGATCGTTAAACCAATCCAAACTCTTGCGGAAACTTCGACCTCAATCGTGCGAGGAGTATAACGGGTTGCACGGTGTTGAAGAAGTAACGTAGCTCAGGTTCCTTACAAATTAATTGTAGTTGAAGTACATGCTCGTATATCTATTTTTTCCAAATGTGTCATTTATCAATGCATGAAAATAAATTGAATAGAAAATCGATACACATTTCAATGTTGGCAAAGATCTATTTCTAGATAGAGTGTTATCCAGTGTTATGCAATGTTACAATGTTTCAAATATTTGTTTACAGATGGAAGATAAAAGACTTGAGATACCTTTTGTCGTGTAACACGTCTGTAGATAATGCTGTATGTCAACAGAGCCGCCACAGCCGGATACGATTTGATTTTCTATTATGTGCGAAGAATTCTTTAAACATTGAAACGAGGAAAAACACTATTTCCAATCAAACGAAATATTTCCGCAGATGTGTTCTTCGTCAGAGCTCGAAATATAATGGGTTAATGTAGCAAATCGAACTCGTTCGCTGGGCAATATGAAAATTAAAAACAACGTTTCGCGCGGAGAGCAATTAATCGTGCGTGTTTATCGTTTTCCACGCAAAGTGAAGGACATCGAACCAATTTGTTCCACTATCAATGTAAATAGAATACCTATGAAACCGCCGAACAACCATTATTCTAAGTACAGTTGGAATTATTTAAGTGTACGGTATAGTTAATCACATAAACGGAAATATTTGATTTTTATCAACACATGTCCAATAGCTTATGTAAACGAAGTGAAAACGAATTCGCTGCGAATTTGATAAGCGTTCGTTAATACTTGGGACATATATCACAAGAAACATAAACATTCTACAAATATACCACTTGTATCGCACACAGAACTGCCCGTAACTCTTCTATCGGAATTCAAATCGTGGCAATTAAATGGTAATCAACGAAACATGACCTAGGAGAAAGAGGAAAAAGGCATCCCTAATCACGGAATCGCGTAAAACATTGTGTTCCAGCGTCCCATCCCTTTCACAGTCGTTTCTTGGATTTCTTTTTACGATCGTTACACGTCGAACGTATTCTGCCAGTTTGCGTGCGTAGGACCCGTTTGCAAAAATATTTTCACGTGAGTCGCCCGTCATTTTCTTCTCATCCGTTTCCCTTACGCGAGGAGCAAAATTTAACAGGCTTAAAATTCAGGTTAGAGCGTAAGTGAATTTCCCGGGAGCCGTTGCTGCCAGTCTGGGAAAGTATATGGAAATGACAAAGTTTTTCTGGGCTCGCGGCGGGTGCCTCTATTTGAAAGGCAGATCCGTACTTGCATAGGCGAAAGAATAATTTCGCACATCGTCCCGTGCCGGTCGTCTCTATTTTGCGGGATACGCGAGGTCGTGGTGCGCGTATACTGAAAGCAGAAGCTTTTACCCGCGTTGTTACACACGTTTCCTTTGAAAACGTACGCCCATCATGCTCCGACAAATTCCCTGATAACGCTCTTTATCGCCAGGACGCGAACGTTGCATCGCGATAATTAAGGGAGCTCCAGGAAATATAATATCAATTTCGAAATAGCAATTTATCGACTGACAGCTCAAGCCAAACGCAACCCCGGGCACGAGGGTCTATATCACATGCACGTCAATCTCTTGGAGTACAAAAACTACTTAAAATGTCAAGGAGAGAATTTTGAAAAATATTAAAGACCTGCACTTTTATTACGTATGTATTTAAAAATGACATCATAACCGGAACACCGAATATTCGTTTTCGTCTGTAGTTTTAATAAAATATTACATAGTTTCAAATTATCACGCAACTGTCGAAATAGCTATCTTTGGAACAGTTCCTATATTAATTTCAGAAGTAAACAAGTAATACTCAGACATCGATGATTCGTTCCTTAAGTTTTCCAATTTTTAAATTATTTAGCAAAAGTTAAAATCCATTGTTTGTACTCATAAAAATGCCCTATCTTCTCATCTCCTAAGCTAAATCAAATATTGTCTCTGCATTTTTTCTTATTCTATAAGCTAACCTAATTTTAACGCATTTGCAAATTTCTATCCTCCGTCGTCTTATTTCAAATTAAATTGTTCTTCTTCTACATATTTTCCAAAACAAAGCCCAGATGATAGAGGGCTGAATCATTCAAGGCACATTCATATCAAAACTCACGCTTTCGCCAAAATTATTCCTTTGCATGGATTTACACTTAACAATCACTTACTACTATTATTAAAAGTCTTACAATTCTGAAATTGCTTTCTCCACGAGTTACATCCGCACAGTCTAACACTGAAAGCCATCAAACTCACAAATCCACACGTCTGAGGAGCAAACCTCTGTTGCCTCGGTATCCAGATTTCGGAGACACGCTACTAATACTAATTCGATCACACTATATCGTCCAGAACCCCGAACTCTTTCAGGTTTAACAGCATTCTCGCCAAAATCGCCGAGATTTCATCTCCGCCCAGCTCGTATAGAACGTCCAGCCTTTCATGCGATTCCATTTGCCCAATTTCCTCAGGTGTGAAGGTAGATTTGCCCATCGGCACAGCCAAGAAAAACGACGCGATAGTGTAACCTAACAAACTCTTCTTCCTAAATTCTTCGCGTATAGCCTCGTACGAATACGTCTCGCTAATCACATGGTCTTGTATATCATTCTCCGTCAAGTACTGCACCAAAGACTCGTGATACACTTTCAAAACGTTGACTATTAAATCCTTGTCGAGGTCTTCGGCGCAGTGAAGGCACAGGTACGTCGACAGGTCGATAACAGGCGACCCGTACCTCATCAAGGCGAAGTCGATGAGCATGGCTTTCAACTCGCCGTTCTCCTTCTTGAAAAATGTATTGTTTAGCGTGAAGTCGCCGTGACAGAGCGTGGACAAAGGTTCTTCAGGTTCGACGCACTTGTTCATATAATTCTCGGTCACGTTGTCCAAGAAGGGCTTCATCTTGTCGCAAAAGTCCTTGTCGTAGCCATTCTTGCGCAGGTATTCGATCGCTCTGCTCGACGTTCGATTTATCATCATCACAAACTCGTCGCTTGGATCATTGAAGTATCTCGTCTCCCATATATCACCGACAATACTGAAGAATTCTTCCTTTTTACGATGCTTCATAACGTATCCTTTCCCGTGGAACCTCGCGATCTCGCGGATCGCAGCCATCGTGTACTCTAGAGGAACGTTGTGCATCGATTTGCAGAGGCTGTATCCCTTTTTGGTGACATTCTCGAAAACCATCACCGACTCGGTCGGTGGGTTCTCGTCCGCGTAGATCAAAGACGAAAAGTCCTTGCTACCCATCGCGTATCTCCTGTAGAACAGGATCTCGTTGTGGAACTGAGCGTCTATGTGCATCATATCTCTGACGATTGCCAAAGGGGTGGGCCTCTTCACCACCAGACTCAGGGTCTTGGTCTTGGACGCGTCCTTCTCGTTGCTGTTCGCGGTGATCTTCACGAAGAACATGCTGGACACGAAGAAGCAATCATCGGGCGTCAACAGCTCGTAGGTTGCGTCATTGAAGTCCTTCAGGTTCGCTGTCACTTTGGCGACAAGGCTGTCCAGCCAGCTGACATCGTTCTCGCCGAAAACGTTCATCTTGGCATCACCTGGAAGGGCAAACAATTTTTCTGAATAATTTTATTCGCGTCACAATAGTCGAACTAATAGTGCGTCTATCGCGATTCAATAGTTTTTATTCAAGCTACAGTTTAGGTTAGTTAGCTATCGCATTGCAGGACCTTCATGAGTCATTAATTTTTATCTTCCGATTTTTCTTATAAGAATTGCGTCAACTTCGTCTTTAAGCCTGGTTAACCCTGAGCATTATTCAATTCATTTACACAAGGTTAACTCTGCGAGTGAAAAACGTGTAACGCAACGACTCAAATCGGTTAAACATACACATATATGAATGTCAACAATACACGACAAGCACGTCAAGCTTTAATGTATTCCTAAGAGGTTATTGCACAATTACTAACGGTGTTGAATTATCGTCTCATTCAATAGGTTGTCTTCAGTGGCTTTATGTAATGCGAAAAGCGTGTGCTTTAAACTATTTGATAGTATTTTTAAATTGCTCGTCATTGTGAGTAGTCCGTGGATTGTATCTCCCAAATAGTGTAACGTATATTTTACTGTCGATATTTTATGTAATCTTGCATTTACGCACATTTTCATGCACTTATTATGCAATTATTTATGCACATAACATGCAATTATTAACGAAATAAAAATGCGTGTAGACTCAATGTTATGTCAATGTACCTTGTTAATATTCAAGTTTCACGTATGAGCGTTCGCGTTCAGCAAAAGTCTTCCCCAAGTCGTAAAATGCAAACGTGGGAAGAAAACTTTACGAATTTTTGAAATATCCAAGTGTTCTCATCCTGTAAAATATAATAGACGAACTTACTTCGTTTACGTGTTATTCCAAATTCCTCGGATGCGACGGTCGCCGCGGTCGACGTCGAACAAGAAACTGAAGGGTAAGGGGTAAGGTCTCACTGGTATTAACAAAGACTGAAAAACTGTCCGAATTTTCCGATTATCGCACGCGAATCGGTCAAGGATCGAATCGAGCAAACTGGTAGAACGACTCCTTTTGGCTGCCACGGCTGCTGCCAGCGAACAGGTTTTATTCGATGAGGATTGTTGTGCTGGAGCTCGATAACATTCACGAGAGGACACGTGGTAGGTAGTGGGGATTCCAGGCTATGAAGGAGCGAATCGCTACCGCGAACAGGCTAAGTACACGCTCACAACGGCACGAACACGCAACGATACACGATTTGAAGGATGACTTTGATATAGTCGTATCATCCTAATATACTCGAGACGGCAGAATAGTCATCCCTGTCATCGTCAATTATATAAGCAAATTTTCTGTTGTTCTCTGCAGTATGCACAGGTCCCTAGCCACCTGACAATTCGTAGTTACTCTGGATCGGATTTCCTCTAATCTCCTGTGCGTGAATTTTGTTTCATCTTTTATAGAGAGATTATTTCTCGAGTAATTGTGCATCAGTAGAATTAACGTTAGAAATTGCAGGGCTTTGAATTTTCCTGCAATGAAACGTGTGCATTTTTTTTTTTAATTTCCATGACGAATGTAGAGCTGTCTCTTTTGTGTCCTAATTGGATACACTATGCAATGGAACCTTTTTGACTTTTTGCTTTGGGATTATGTAAATTTATCGCGCGAAACATGGTAAAAGCAGCAAATTTCTCGTAGTTACATCAACGAAAATAATTTTATTTATTAGTTTAACGTGTCTATTTATTATGTATAAAACATGAATATTTCACAACTATTTGTTAGGCGAAATAAATATTCTTAAATAAATTCCTTTTTTTCCTAGCGTATGATAATAGCTAGTTAATCGCTACAGTGCCAATTTTGAGAACAGATAAAGTATGCAAAACATAGAAACTCTTTTAACTTGTTTTGCAGCCATTTGTTTGCAACCATTATGGTCGATGGTGCACTTTTCAATTATTGATTAAACATTTTCTGGCGTGGTTGTGCGCGAGCCTTAATAAAGCAATTGGTAATTACGCGCACTTCCAACTCAATTTTCTACTGGCAGAGAGCACATGATTCAATGTCTACGGTTGAACAGAAAATATGCGTGTATGGATCTCATATTTTCCATGAGTCATGCTTGATTTCGTCATGGAACATTTTTCAGCGTCTTCTCTGAATTTATCTTACTTCCTCATCTACGTTTGGAAAACTTTTTGGTAATCTAATCGATAAATACCATAGTTCACACTCGAATCTGTTTCAACTTCGTTGTAGTACGATGAACTGTTTGGAATTATTTGGCGTAGAGTCAAAGGCTTCAGCACATGTGTCTTATTTTTTTGATCCCTTTTTAGATTGGCATTGCATCATAATTGAGGTCGTGAGGCTTTCAAGAACCTCTCTAAGTTACCTAAATACCGCTATAATATATAATATATGCAAAATGGGGTTTCTATCGCTGTTCGAGGTGTTCCATAATTTCCTATGCAATTAGAAAGTAATTTATGGAAAAATAAGAAACATATTTTGTAGGAAATTGTATTTTACATAAAAATTTATCCTGGAGATATCTTGGATGTGTGAGTTGGAAATCAATTCTAATTAAAAATTTTCGTTCATATTAATTCTGACAGAACAGAAACTTGAGGAATACTTGATGTTGCTTTCAACGAGTCCCCTTGAATTAGATTAATGAACTTTTTATGACACTGAGAGGGGACTCGGTATAGGAGATAATATTATATATGGGTATATCTACGTGTGCTATATTTAGCTCTGCGTTAGAAAACAACTGCAACTGTTATCGCTGATCTGAAACCGACCTCTTTCCCTTGACAAGAGTGTTCATGACATGATGCTGTGAGTTATTTAAAATTCAAAGGCATGTTCGAATTTTGATATATATTTATTGAATTACATAGGTGCCATTTTGTTGCACGACCTTTCTACCTTTTAAGGGATGTAAAGTTAAGGGATGTAAGTTATTTGTTTTAAATCATTCCGATATATTCAGACCTGTACCACTTACCAAAAATCGTCATGGAATTTCCAAACAACCCAATACTTTGCACAGAGGAATCGTCGCGCTGAGAAAAATAACTCAACAGTTCCCAAGTAATACCAGATCAGTAGATACATAAATTTAACAAATCCGTCTCAGACCTATTACGCGATTTCATCCACCCTCGACGTAAAATACGCTACCCGATTGGTTGAATAAATTGACGGAGGTCAAGGTTGTGGCCTGAATCGAGTCCCGCGGTTCAAGAGAAATTACGGATAGATCCATCGACTCTGGAAAAAGACCATCCATGGGAAAGGCTTTGAAGGAAAGTCTGCTTTGACAAAAGAGCGTAATCCACTTCTTCTCCGACTCTGATTGCACTCTTCGATCATTCCTATCTTAATCATGCTCTTTCACACATACAATCGCAAGTGCACTCGTCGCGCCTCGCGAGTTACATTAACCGCGTTTCTCCTTAAGGAAGTTCTTTGAAACTCGTTCTCATAAACGTCACCCGGCCCCTCGACGTTCTTTGACGAACACTTGTCGCTTGCACTCATTCATTTCATTCGACACGCACTGTACATACACTCCACTTGCGTGTTAAATGATTCCATCCATGAAATGCCTAACAGGCGTTTCTAGGTTACGATCAACTCTTGGATAACCGATTCATCGCCGACCACGGCTCTGTTCTTTTGTTGAGTCGAATAGATTTTTCTTTTATCGAAACGTCAGGTTAATTGTAGCGTATATATTATAATATTTAATTACTATATGATGCAGTCCACTCGTAAGTTTAAGTTTCCTACACTTACTCACTGAGAGCAATTGCGAGGAGCTGAGAACGTCTGGTGGTAAATTAAAAGCTTATATAATACTGAACGTTTGAGCAATGACGTCAATCATTAAACACGTTAACTCTTTATTGCATAAGTATTATTTTGTAAGCATAAGTATAAATATAAATATTTATGCAAGTATTACAAACGAAGAATTTTGTGTTTAGTTTGAAAAGTGAAAACTAAAGCATAATTAAAGCATCGTGGTAAATCTTTTAAAATTGCCCTCTAATAATTAAAAAAAAATGTGTTTCTCAGCAATCAGTCTCCCATGGACCCCATGAGCAACGAAACAAACCCCTTTAAACCTTTAAACAAAATTGGAAGCTCTCGAAACGTCAATTTCCATTCGATGTAAACTAGTTCCACGCGTTCCAACCTGCCTAGCGCTCACCAAATCACACCACGGGAGCGAAATGCGTAGAAATTAGAAGAACTCAATTCAAGAAACGGTGTAAGTGGATGCTTGATGTCTGGTCATCGTTTGCGGAGGGTCGCATGCCTCGTCAGCCGGAATTTTACCTCATTCCCTCAACTTCTCGCACTCGGGTTGTTTCTCTTTCAAAATTCGCTCCTTGGAAGGCGCGACGATCCCGGGGAGAACGGGCCGCGAGATGAATTTCGCCGAACAATACCGTTGGAACCGTGAAAGAAGAAAGGGAACCGACCGAGAGGAACGGCGGAAAAGCCACCGGGCGACTCGAGGAGGCGGAAGCCACGATCCAGAAAGGCAAGCAGCGCGAAATCGTCTTCTTGGCTCGCGAGACGAAATTAACTGAATTGGCTGCGCACGAGTGGACCCTCCTGACGTACGAGGCAGAATGAAAGCAGGGATGCCACGGGAAACGGCCTCGAGTGGAGACGCTTAAAGAGCGTTCGCGAGCATGCCCTGCTCCTGCCGAATAAATTTCACTTCTTTCCCGACAATACAGGGTGTCCACGGCCATAGGAGCTCACCTGAACGTCTTCATTTTACAAACGAGGAATTACAACACCTTCGCCTCAACGTGAATGTCTTTATATTTATTTTATTGTCTCTTCTTCTTTGTGACACGGAAATGGGTTTGTGGTGATTTCGGGGGAGGAAAATTGAATTGCTTTTTTCTTATTACTGATGAGACCTTCGTGTGATTTTCATTAACACGTCGATCGCCACGTCAACGGCATATGCGTGACAGTGTTTTTCACTGAAGCACGACAAAAAATAATTCTGAAAGTTGAGCAACAAAGGAGATGATTTTAAACGAAATTCATGAATTTTGACGAAGTTACAAAAATATACACCACGATAAATATTTGATTAGGTAGTCTCCGATAGACTAAAATAATAGTCAATCATAGTAGAAATTTTCAAGTATATTTGTCTGGCAGTCAACGTATTAACGATACTTATTGCGAATTAAGGAAGTGTTCGCTTACTTTTGGGCGACAGTGTACATCAGTAAGAAAGTCAACGGCAAAGTGGGATGCGTCTATCTGGCACAAGACGGCAAAGTAATTTGATCAACGTACAACAAATAAAGGAAGGAAAAGGACGGTTTAAGACCATAGGAATTCTCATTCTCCTCGCTGTTTGCGCTGAATGCTCACTAGAGAAAGAGGCGGAGGCTGCTCTTTCCGCGAACGATGAAAATATTTCTCGTGATTTCTTCATCGACGGTGGCGGAGGTTTTTGCATAATCGCGGTTGACGATGCTTTTTTGAGTGGTTTCGCGGCACGAGCACGAGCTAACCACCGACGTACCTTGACACGACGGATATGCAAATCCGATCGGTATCGAGCTTGAAACACTCCGTCGACCCTTGAATGAAATTTATGAAATTTTGGAGAAACCGAGCTGCCGACTACTCGCCGCGGGCTTATGAATTTTACATCAAACATCGCGGAACCACGCTTTGCGAGGGGGAAATTTGATATTCAAATAAATTATCCCGCAGCGTTTGTTCCGTGGGCTTCCTTGGCTGGATGCTGATTTTCGAAATCTCTCGGTGGCTAGAATTGTTCCTCGCGGGGTGATCCAGACTTGCTTGCTCCAAGATCGTTCTACACTTTCCCCTGTTCCAATAAAATGATCCAGTTGGTGTATCTGTTAACTCCGGTGGTTATAACGAATTTTCTTCGTGAACCTTTAATTCTACTCTCACCTTATTCCTCATCTAGTTCATACGCGATGAACAGAAAGTTTTATTTATTTACTTACTGTACCTCAAATATTCATTTTTATTCAGTGAGTGACAAA